TTTCATTTGAGAACCTGATGTGTCCATAAATTGTCCATTTGGAATTATCGGTGGCATCGGTTTGATTGTTGGTGTTCCATGATCGAATGGATATTTTGAGAAAGGCACTGAATCCTCTTTTTCTTTTTTCACCTCCTTTTCTTTTTTCACAGGCTCATAATCAGATGGGTATGTCTTCAAATTTTTCCTTTGTGGTTTATTAGGTTTAGAATCTTTGGAAGACTTAACATCCATAGTCGAATGTCCGTACTCGCTATGATTTGTCAAATGATTATCTCTATGTATATTATATGATCATACTACTATTAAACTCCGTGTAATCAATCTAAAAAATATTTTTTCGTTACAAATCCACTTATGTTTACAAACCTTTTCACAACCGTTTTAAGTTCTTCAATAAATGATTTGAAATCTTGCTCAACAAATGGATTGATCAAAATTTTGCCCATAATATTTTTAATCACTGGATTATTCGTAAAGATATCTGATGTGTTTAACATTTTTTTCTCGTAAAATTCTCTAACAATTGTTTGAACTTTGTTTTGCTGATGCAAAACTTGCTCTTTCCAATATTGCGTTACCAAAAGATGACGTTCAATATTCTCTTCGTTAAGATGACCAATCTCTAGTTTTGGCTCATCCGAATTCGATTCAGTTTGTAATTTCCTTTGCACGGAAATTGCATGAGGCAACCAATAATATTGTGTCTTACCACCATCATCTGGACAAGGTACGAGAGGTGGAATTCCATCAATAATACTTTTATCAATTTGATATTCATACTCTAATTGCCGAGCGCTATGTTAAAATTATGAAAAATATTAATTATATTCGTAAATATATATGTATATATATATGTCAAAAAATACCTTTTCGCTTGTTCGGAAATACAATCCTTACAAGATCTCACAAATGCAGGCCAATATATCTGAACACCAACAATCAAACCGATGCCACCGATAATTCCAAATGGACAATTTATGGACACATCAGGTTCTCAAATGAAA